TATTTGTCGAGTTCAGCAGTGAGTCCCGATTTTTGTTCAACCAATACAGCTATTGTTTGTTGTTGTGTGCTGCAAATACTCGCCAAATCTTCATATGTTACGGAACTTTCGGTGGTAAGAGACCTTTTATCGGGTATGTTAGTTTCCGCAAGTGCAACTGTCGGTATAGCAATCTTTTCACGCGGCTCTTCTATTGGTTGATGTCCTTCGACAAGCTTGCTATGGGATTCTATGTTTATATGTGACGGCTCTTCAACGGCATCAGCAGATTCTCTATAATGATTAAGCATTAGATGATGAATTTAAAGGCATTAATAGTTATAAAGAGTTTCTTACTTACGGTGTCATTAGTTTTTCTTTTTGTACATCAGAAGAAACAGCAACAATTGATCTATCTTCCACTTGAGTTTTTGATCTATCTCAAACCAAAAAACACCCAAGAAATGCAATATAAATATAATGATTTATTAAAAGATCTTATTACATGTACAGACAGACTTTTGTTTATCAAATGCAACAAATTAAGGGTATTTCGACCATTTTTTTTAAAAAAAACTTACTCGTTCGCTTTCGCGTCAATAATAACTTCGGTTCGGCCACTGCTTGTTTCCGAATTGATGCTTGACGTACGAGTACGACTTGTAGTCGCAGAGTCAACACTAGTTCGACGAGCTGCTATGGGAGACGTTGGGTCGCTAGTTGTACTATTATTGCTAGTATTATTGGTATTTCCACCGCCTCCACCTCCACCCCCAGCTTTTTTCTTTTGAAATTTTTTTAGCTGATAAAGACGAAGCGAAAGCAACGGACAAAAGACGAGACAAAATTCTCGTAAGCTTAACGAGACAAAAAATAATAAATTCTTTCAATGTCAAATACCTTCTTCTTTGCAGCTAAAAGCTTTTCTTCACGTTGAGCTGTTTCTGCATCCATTTTGACTAAATAACTGATAGAAAGTAATAAAGAAATTCAGTTTTATAATTGATCAATGAATTGGTGACTGTTTATGGATTCTATTGGCCTATTAAAGAAAATCTCACGCTTTCAACATATATATATATATAAGAACAATCTGCTTTAGATTTTATTCAAACTTATGTATTCGTTTTTTCGAACCGACCCTATGCATACAAAACATAAATGTACTGGGCTGTGTCGAGCTTCGTAAAAACTAGGTCAGTTACAGGAATTAGCAATTGCTCCTACTCTAGTATGTATGCACAAGAGAAAAAATACAAGTTATGTAAAGTGTAAATATTCACCAATTATTATGAAGAATTATTCCTTGCTGCATTACATCTCGAAGTTAAATAAATGTTCTTGCATACTTTGAGAGCGTAGATTCGTTGTGGCTTTCAGAGATGCTTTCGCGTTTTGAACAAGGTCTTATACCATCCCAAACTTTATTCTGATGTATGATACTTTGTCATTTATATATATTTACCTTCCAAATCTCAATTATAATAAAAGATCAAATTTCAAAATTTGTTTAACAAAATTATGAATGTACATTCAATTCTGGATATAACGATCTCTTTATAACGACTCTATATTAGTTCGTTATAAAAAGCATAGCGACTTCATAGACTAACTTTATATAACGAACTTTTTTAGCAAATTACCAGTTCGTTATAGAATAGATTGTCAGTTTTTACAATTTCATCGTATCAATTTATTATCACATGATCTTTTAAATTGCACATAAGATGATGCAGAAATTATTTTCGCCTTTCGATTAACGCGCGTTATTTTTGAAAATGGAGGACGACGGTTTGATACTAAACATTTGCTCGGCAACAAAAAATAACAATGACACTGCTCACAAAAAACCAAGCATAAGAGCTCAAATCAAAGAAGCTGGCGGTAGCTGGAAAGAGCGCAGTAAAGTTAGAAAGATCATTAAAAGTCAAATGAGAAAGTCCACCCAAACTCATGTTCCCCTAGAACACGATTATAACACAGTCGAAAATGGTGGATATGACTTAAACAAAGAGGTTATTCAAAAAAAACTTTCGAAAAACAAACTTGCTTTTACTGTAAGAAGAGAAGATTCCAAGGAAATACAAGAGAGATCGAAGAAATCCATCACTACAACACAACCACAACAAATAATTTCCTCTCTTTTTACGTACAATCCCATGATCCCTTCAATTAAACATAATTATCTACCAAATGATAATTTACCGAGTAATGCACCGGTGAATGATTCGAATTCATTTATTGGAATGGGTTTAGATGCAGATTTGGTTGCACATATCAAAGAAAAATTAAATGCAGAGAAACCAACTGATATTCAATGCAAAGCTATTCCACTGTTATTGAATTTAAATAGAACTTCAAGCGATGAAACTATTGATGTAGACGTCGTAATTCAAGCGGAAACCGGTTCAGGGAAAACATTGGCATTTCTTTTGCCTATTATAGAAAGATTGATACGCGCCACTAAATCCATAAAATCAAACTCCTCATTAACACGTTCTCTAGGCACGCTAGCAATAATACTTACGCCAACACGAGAGCTTGCAAAACAGACACTCTCCGTACTGGAGTCTTTGTTAAGTATATCACCATCCAAAACTACCAATAATCGTTTGCAACATTGGTTAGTTCCGGGAGTCGTAAACGGCGGTGATAAGAAGAAATCAGAGAAGGCAAGACTTCGTAAAGGAATCAATCTATTGGTTAGCACACCTGGTAGACTTTTAGATCATCTACAAAATACAAGATCGTTCTCGGTGGAAAATTTACGATGGCTTGTCCTTGACGAAGCTGATCGATTACTTGAGTTGGGATTCGAAGAAACATTACAAAAAATCATACAAATGTTAGCTGATCGATCGGACGCCTATCAAAAAATAAAGCAAAAAAATTGTCTCTTTGATTCTGATACATTACCTAAAAGAAGGCAGATAATTCTTTGTTCAGCTACATTAAAAGATGATGTTCGACGTTTAGCTGGTCAAAACCTGTTCAATCCGATTTATATTAATGGAATTGATAAAGGTAATGAGGAACGTTCAAAACCTAAAAATAATTTGAAATTGTTTACCACGCCCAACCAATTGAAACAAAAGTGCATAATAACACCGGCAAAATTAAGATTGGTCACATTAACCGCAATATTAAAAGCAACATTTAAACGTCACTCGGAATCAATATCGAGCGAAAAAGTTATTGTCTTTTTCTCGTGTTGCGATGCAGTTGACTTTTATTTCGATTTGTTTGCAAACGCGGGAAATCTCGGACAAGATACGGATGATGATCAAAAGGCTAACTCAGAGACATGTCTAATTAGCACAGTAATTCCAAACTTGATGATGTTTCGATTACATGGCGAACTTTCTCAAACATTACGCACGACAACATTTCAAACCTTTAGCTCTACTTCATCCGGTGTTCTATTTTGTACTGACGTGGCTGCTCGAGGTCTTGATCTTCCAAATGTTTCAAAGATTCTTCAGTATGACCCGCCAACCGATATCAAGGATTACGTGCATCGAGTTGGTAGGACTGCACGATTAGGTAAAGGAGGAGAAGCGATTCTTTTTTTGTTGCCTAGTGAGGTTGGGTATGTGGATTCATTGGAGGATCAAGGAATAAACACGCAAAATGTTCAAGTGGACACAGTATTAAAAAATTTGCAGCACACAACAACAAACAATAGCTGTATTGGTTGAACAAAAATCGGGACTCACTGCTGAACTCGACAAATA